GGGGGGGAAGGCTTGTATTTATTTTTGGTACTCTTATTCAGAGGACTTTCCCTCATTTCTTACCCGTTCAATTGTTGTAATACTCTTTGTTGCATTTGAAGAAAAGAAGTTTCTCTTGGCGTCACAAAGCTGATTTACAGCCTCCGTAACAGAAGGGGATGTATGCAGCTGACTTAGCAGCTCAACTCGGTATCAAACATCCTTAAGTAAAATGTTTACCAAATGCTCGTGAGGTTGGATCTCAAGATTGAGAATGTGTGTAACTAGCTGATGAGAGACCATATTTTTCTTACCCCTGAGGCTGGGAATCCAGGTCTGCCAGAAGCCGACGGTGCAGCATCTTTATCCAAACTTCTCTAACGCTTACAATACTGAAATTCTTTTTGCCCCACTGTACGTGACTATTCGTAACTTGATTTCCCATCAGGTTCGGAACTTTCTTTGAGCACAGCTAGTACTGACAAATTAACCCAAACTCCTAATGGAGTTAATTGTTTATAATGAAATGCTAAACATCTTTTGAGTGATAAGGTGAAAACGGAATGCTGGAAGATAACACACAAGCATTCCTGTGCAGCAGTCATGTGCTGGTGGTATCTAATGTGTTTGCCTTTTACGGCTGGGAACCTGTGCAAGTGGATTGCCATATCAAGTGAAGTCTGCTATCAGACACACTGCAGACCCTTGTTGAGCTGCACAAGTGTCCAGAAACCTATTCCGAAATGAGCAACGCAACTGTTCAATTGTTGGAAAAGAACTTTTGAACATAGCCTGGAGTATCCTGAATTAAAGCTGCGATAATGAGAAGACAAAATACAAGCCGCTTTTGGGGACTACTGTAAACGCTGTTTCGTGTACCTGTAGAAGATACTGGAGAAGAAGATGCCAGTAGAGCAGACTACTAAAATTTTGGCTAATGTGAGAAGATCTCTCATTTACCTTTCACAGGTTAACAATATTGTGGTATTTCAGACACCTTCAAGACAAAAACTGACACTCTCAGCTATCAGCAAAAACCCACAAAGTCAAAAGCATCTTGAAGCCTACAATTAGTATTTATTTCTTTGCATGTCTTAAAAATTCAGGAGGTGCTTCTGTGCTTTCTTAGGCCGATTCATTCAAGAAGGGGATATTTTAATTTCCTCACGGTTTTGGTTGTAGGTAGGCTTTACTTGAATCTTGAAATCCTAGTTTTATGGCTAGATTTTCTGAGTGAGGTGAGGGCAGCCAATTGCTGTCCCCATCTTATTTTGCATCGCCTTCTTCCACACCAACAAGCGTTGTTGTGAGCCAGCAATGATCTCACGTGCCCATTACTAAGGTAAGCAAGAAAGGTTTGTGTCTGCAGATTGTTCCATCGCATTGCACAAGTTTGGAGAAGTGTAAACATGGATTACAAGTACTAATGTGGGGATTTTAGTACGTGCCTTTGTTAAAGTGTAATGTAGCAGCGCCTGCACTGAACCAATCTTGGATTGTTTCTAATGTGTATTTTTTCCTTAAATTTTCCTTAATTTTTTCCTTAAAACTATTGTGCGTTGTTCCACAATGAGAGGGTTCATTAAAAATGGGGGTGGGGAGAGGGAACACCCTTTTAAAACGGAGTCTTTGTGATTCCACAGTTTATGATGGTTATATTCCAAAGCCTGGAAAAGCTTTCATCTCTATTTTTTGAGTGTTCTTCACAAAATAAAAAGTCTTTTCTATATGCCTATTTGATTTGTCTATTCATGTCTCACTGATACATTTTTAGGGAATGGCAGGAGTTGGTTGCTAACATAGGACGGGGCACAACCTTCGTTAAGGTTTAATTTCTGAATCTGTTCCAAAGATGCCAGTCTGATCTCTGTGCGAGAAGTTTTCCCAACCTGGCTGGGGTTGCATGTGCAGAGACCTGGGTTCAGCTGGAGGAGTGGGATTTTGATGCAAGTAAAAGTGATTTTTAGCTTGTGTTTTTCCTCTTTTTCAGACAGCGTGGTCTAGGATTAACTGCCTGTTACTTCAACTCTGTATTTGTGCACAAATATATTAAGCTGGTGTATTTTTCAAGGGAACTAGCATAAATCTAGAGGACTGTGCCTTTGCATAGAGTGAGAAACAGGTTGCTAAGGAATGGTTATCTTTTGTATCTGCTCCCGGTGCCATTCTCGTAAAAGAGCAAGTGTTCAGCTCTGGGAATCTTCTTGGGAGAAAACTGTGTGTTTTCTTTTTCTTTTCCTCGCAACTCATTCCAGTTTGCTGAAGTGATTACAGAGCAGGATGAAGTGGCCCATTTGAAAAGCTAAGTCCTTCTTGTTCAATTTAATTCTCCCTCAGCGGCCACTGAACAGAGCCGTTGCCTTCTGAAGGGTGTTGCAGGTACAAACCCCGAGAATTTTTGTAACCGGGACGGGTGAGCGATGGCACAGAGGCTGCAAGGCTGTGCTTAGGATAAGCTCTGTGGTTCTGGGACTCGCTGGCTGCTTTGGCTGGTTTTGCTTCATTGCTGACAAGTTTTACTGGAGTTGAGTAACTGTTACTGGTTCCACGGATTAACCGCATTTGATTTCCTGCATGCATTTACTCTGTGGTAGCATCCGAGCCCTGGGCAGGCATTGCTCCCTGGGCTCTGAGGTGCCTTCTACCCCTCTGTGCTGGCAGCCGCCCTCACACAGGTACCTGCCAGGATGCTCCCTTCCAACCACCCCAGCTCCTGTAGCAGTACTCAGCCCATCACTGTACTTTCTGAACTGCTCCTGCCTCTGCTCTGAGCTCGTACCAGCCCTCCTGTCTCTGCTGGCTAACCCCAGGGTTGCTCTTCCCCCCTACAGCTGACCCCTCTCTTTATTTGCCCTTTTATTTGCCTCAGCTGCAGCTTCTCCCGAGGGCTCAACCTGCCACAGGCCTTGTGGTCAAATTCCTCTTTAATTCCCTTTTGCCTGGTGATCACAGGGAATTGCTGGTCACTTCTGAACACACGCACGTACACAGACCATCTTCTGTGTTTCATGCAGAAGCTGGTGAGACCACTGTGTATTTGTGCTGCTGTACCCGTCTCCTCTGGCTGCCATTGCTGGCCAGAGCCATGTTTTGACCATCAGCCCCTGCCAGCAGCCCGAGCTTATGGAACAGCTCCCAGGCAACTTCTGTGAATTACACCTGTGGTCTTAGTGCCTAAAGAAGTTTAGCCCTCCTCCCACCCACCAGCCCTTTTGCTTGTAATGAGAAAGGTATTTGATAGCTAGTGTGGTTTGGTTTGTTCCCATTGGATGCTCCTGACCAGGGACAGGATGTGATGGTGGTGGGTTTTTTTTGGATTGTAAGTAGGTACAGCCACCACAGTTTCTGTTAAACTGACACCTCTTTGGGCTCCTTAATAAATGTCTAACTTGGCTACTAAACTTATAATGACTGCAGAAAGAAGACACCTGTAGCTATAATTTGCACATGGAGCATATCGTCCTTTGGGGTGGTGTATAGGAGCATTAAAGATTCCCCAGTTAGCATTTACTTGCAGTGATTTACGAACTCTAAATTTCCATATCATAGACTCAGCGTGCACGGCTGGTGGCTGAAAGAACTTGGTTAATGGCCAGGTTGTGATAAGAGGGATTTGCTCAGTTCTGTGGAGTATCAATTTTTTTCTTATGGCCGTGCACATAAAATTATGTGGAGAACAAGGAAAGGGAATTTGGAAAGGGAATGGGCTGATCCTTTATTTTTGGCGTTTGAATTAACAGCAAAAGTTTTAACAGATAGTAATAAAACAATTTTCTGAAGTTCAAGTTAGCATGGCAATTCACAAAGCAATAAAAGTACAAAACCTGTCAATATAGACTATAGTTGAATACTTTTGTTTCTTACTGTATTAAAAGGCTTTCAAACTAAAAGACTTATGGCTTAAAAAAGAAAGAAAGAAAAGAGAAATTGTGCCATGGAAAAATGACTGCAAAAAGTACAAGGTAGCCAGGCACATACAGGACAAACTTAGAAAATGTATTTGTAATCTAAGTATCCTTTCCAGAATGATGCTACTTGAGGTAAAGAAGAGTTTGTAAACACTACGGAAGAAAATTCTTCTCTATTAATGATAATCATGAAGTCATTAAGATGAACTGCTACTTAAAAATCAGTGGGCGGTGCCTCATTCTGGGTATCTGTTGCACCGTGGGGTGTGCTGAGTTCTGGTGACCGTGGCTTCTTGGCAAGAGGTCTGTGAGGGAAGGTGCAAGGACGGCACGCGTGTGCTGTGCTGTGTGTCTCGGTGCTCCCGGGGCTGTCATCTTGGTCTGCGTCTGCAGATCGGTGCTGCCCCTTGCTCAGAGCTCTGTGTGCAGAAGCAGCTTCGCTTGTCTCATGTTTTCAATCACTGCAGAGAAAGCACTGAAGATAGTAAAGGTGGGAGGGAAGATGCCTACATCTACACAGCTTAAGGTCAGAAATTAAAGCCACTTTGGATCGCTAGACTTCTAAAAGGTCTTCAAAAAAACCTTTTTTTTTTTTCCATTTTAATGGGTAGTTTTGACTAGTTATTTTGTCTCAGCAACAGGTTTTCACTGGAATTAGCAATTAGCTTCTAGAAAATATTAAGATGCTTGTTTGGGAGAAGACTTTTTTCTTCTCTTGGACTATTTTGTTAACTCCTGTTGGTGGCAGAAGTATCTATAATGGTGTGTGTTAATCGGTACTCCAGGGACAGAGTGCCATTAGAATACATGAGTTCATCTGATGGAGTTCACAGGTGGCACAGATGCTCTTTTCTGTATTCTGCAGGTGTCCCGTGAGGTTCAAAGCTTTGTCTGAGTGTCAGGCAAAAGTCTATGTGCTGCTGAAGTGGAAAAACTAGCAAAGAGGACTGTGAAGCCAAATCACAGGATAGTTATTAGCCTGCTTGTCTGTGGGAAGGGGTTTGCTCTGCTGCCCACAGCTTTTGAGCCTGGCTCATCCAACTTGCTATAATCTGGGGATCAAGACATCAGAAAAATACAGTTCTCTAAGTGTTATTAAAGTGGGCAGCCAGGAGACGGGAGTGCAGAGATACCAAGCCTTAGCAATTAATTCCAGTCCTCCTGGAATATGTATTTTCACGCTTTGGTTAGCCCTAGGGCAAGAAGTATTGAAACAGCTTCTGCGGTTCGAATTACGAAGCAGAGCAGCAGCACACTCAAGTCTGCAAGTGCCTTGAACCAAAGTGGTGGGGTTTTGGGGCCAAACTTCCACAGTGTTTGGAAACTCCACCACCAGGGTTCAGACACTGAGGACAACTCTGCCCATACTTTACCACCCAGCTCTTCAGAAATACTCAGTAACGTTTTTTCCCAGAAGGCGCTTGCACTAAATTTACTTCATTCATGGTTATAGAGGGCTTTGAGCAGGTTTTACTGCAGAAATAGATTCAGCGTTTCTCAAGATTCACTTATATCCTCTGCCTTTAACCACACATGTGTTGTATAAAATTGAGATGGCTAAAAAGGGATCAGAGAAATGCCCATTTCACTCACAGGTCAAAATGTCTTCTGGTTCGTAAGTGTACATCCTGTTCCCATATTTGCCAGTTAGATCACCTCGAACTGTCATTGAAGGATCTTGAGGAGAAAAAAGTACAAGATATTAGCAACTCCAGCTTTGTGAAGTGGTGAGGCACTGGAACAGGTTGCCCAGAGAAGTTGTGGATGCCCCATCCCTGGAAGTGTTCAAGGCCAGGTTGGATGGGGCTTTGAGCAATCTGCTCTGAAGGAAGGTGTCCCTCCCCATTGCAGGGGGCTTGGAACTAGACGATCCTTAAGGTTCATTCTAAGCCAAACCTATGATTTTCTATGATTTTGTGAGAATAAAAGCCTTTTAAAATGGTGTTGACTGGCCTTTTCATGGTTGGAAAGGTACATCTGGAAGCACCAGGCTCTCAGCGGCTGTAAGTTGATGAAGGAAGTCTACTTCTGAAACCCATCAGGAGTAGATCCTCTACATACAAGCCTCATCTGGTGACTCAAGATTATTGTCCATTGTCCCCTTCGTACCTAGCATTTTGATGGTAAGTTTGCCTTTTGTCTAGTTGTTGGTCACAGTCGGTGATGGGCCTTTGCCCTTGGAGAGAGAGTTTGTCATTCATGTGAGGACAGGCTTGGAGTAAGAGGCTGTATTCAGATGTTGCGTCATGGTGTCACGCAGGCAGGACCAAACTTTTAGAGGATATATGTTAGCCGTTAATAGCAGTGACATGCTGTTCATTTCCACTACTGGAATAAGACTATCGTGGTCCCGTTTTTAAAAAGATGGTAGTGGTTTTGGAAGCCCAACTTAAGCTCCGATTGCCAAACATTCTGGGTTTTCCCACTTAAGCTGTTCCTTTTGAAAGTCTGGGTTATTCCTACAGCTTTAGTGCCCAAAAAATAAGAGCTATTACTTGGAGCAATGCGAATTTGATGGGGACCATACAGAAAAAATGCTGCCCTGGTTATTCCCCTGACCCCAGAGACTCACCCACAAAGAGGATCCGAGGGACGTAATGGCCATCAGGTGCCATGTTGTCATCGCTGCTGGAATGCTGTTGGAGTTAGATAGCCTCTTAGTGATGGGTAACTGTCTGAGTGCTAGAAATGGACTGAATCAGCTGAACTTGCCTCGTCTACCAACAACTAACAATTCTGGTGTGATCAAATACGGAGTTTCCCTGTTCTAGATGCTGCGGGATGAGGACAGAAACCTCAGGCAGGTGACTAAGAAAGCCTGATGACTGGGTATTTTTTCCTTTTTTTTTCCTTGAATCAGAATATGACCTGTTGTAGAATACAGAATGGGATTCCTGTGCCAATAAGTACGCGTATGTCTGTATGGAAGTGTCTCCCTGACCCCTCTCCAAGGAGGAACTGTGCTGGTGTTTTGCAAACCCTGTTGTACATCCCCAGAGAAAGTGGGAGGAAAAAAGAGAATTTCAAGTACTACTTCAAAGCTGTGTGAAGTGTATCAGTTTCTGCTTTTAATATGGCTTATTCCACTCCAAGGTAAATGTTTTGATTAAGATTTTAAAATTCAGATTTACCACCAGGTTGAGCATGATAAAGTCCTTCTGAGCCATCTGCTGGATCTCTGGGCTAGAAGCAAATGCTTTCCTTAAAGCTAAAAGAAAGAGAAATGTGTTACTTGGGTGGAAAAAAACAAGCCTGAATGACAGCTTTTCATGGTTTTGCATCATTTTATATTGATCCTAAATCCAACAGTAAACGACTGGTACTACTTTCTGATGTGCACGTCACACAAAGCTTGGAGGACTTGGTTCTCGTAAAGTAAAATGCAAAAGGCACTTAGTTCTTGAGAAACTGAAATGCAGGTGTACAGGCATATTTCCTTCCCAGTGGCTGAACAGGTCATGAATGCATACGGCTTGGCTTTATTCAGCTGTCTGTGGCTCTGCCCTACAGAGCATAGGAGTCATCTGCATGGGGAACAAATACCAAAGTTTGAGAAATGGTGGGCCCAGACTTCTCTGAGAAACCTTGCTTTGTTCTTGATAACCAAGGAGGTTATCAAGTGATAGCGTGTGGCCTGACACACTCTTGGGCAGGAGGCCTCGCAAGAGGAAATTGTATAAACCAGATGGTAGCAGATGCTCTTGCAGGCCGGAACATGATTTGAGCTTTCCAGTGCTGTAAACTATTGTGCTAAGGTTCTCGTGTGCAGGTGAAAATACACCGCCAAAGGCATGTTGCAGTCTCTGTGGACTGGTGAATATGAGGCTATAAAGACAATTTTCTCGCTGTCTGACTCTCCCTGCTTGCAGGATAGCCATAACCTCAAAACCATGGTATAAAACAATGCAACGGAGGCAGTGCGATGCCTAACCTCGCTGGCTTGACGCAGTCTGCTTTCAGGGCTTCTTTCTGGGGGGGATACAACTTCCCCAAGCTTTAATCACACAAGCTGATGATTTCCATGCTTGCTGGGGCCCAGGACTGGAGTTGGGAGGTGGCAGGAAGGAGAATTAGCAGGAGATCAGGGGTGGGGAAGAGGATAAAGGAGGACTACCTGAGTCTACCTGACTGTTTCATAGTTATGTGTCTCTGCCAGGGAAGTTTTGACCCAGAGCACATTACTGCTGAGAAAAACTTTACAACTGTTTTATTCCCCAGCTGTTCTCAAGGGTCCCCAGTCGATTTACTGTCTCTCCACCTTTCCCTGCATGTGCTGGAAAGGCTTCACACCAAGTGCTCAAATGCCTTCGTAAGCAATGAGCACTGAAAGATTTGGATTCCCCCAGGTTGTTTGGAAGGGTGTGCTTTGCTCACCTTGGCTGTAAGGACACTCTTCCAAGTGGTGAATAACCATCAGTGGCTTCTTGCTGAAACGACATTGCAGGAAAGGAGTGGGGAGGCAATTCAGACCTTTTACAGACCGCACTTGCAAAGAGTTAAGCCACTGAGTTGCTCCAAGGATATATTTACATTGCAAGGAGCAATAGCAACCAGGCTAGTGGGGAGTTGTGGACACAGTCATGTACAGAGGGACGTATCACTGAGAGGGCAGCATTGGAGGCACTGCAAGGACGTTTGCTCCTCTCCCAACAGGTGAGCTCTCACCAAAACCTTGTTCAGCCTCCGTACCATACAGCAAAATAGAACTTGCATCTTGCTTGCAAGGTACAAGGCACAGTCTGAGCATCATGTTAGAGTATAGCTTTGTTCTGTGCAGTTAAAGATATGAATTGGCATAGCAACAATTGAGGATTACCTGTGTTTTGATCGTGCTAAACCTTCTTCATATGTCTGCACCCATTCAATGTCGTCTCCCCAGCCTGTTGAGAGCACCCTTAGTTAATTTTCCCATCAGTATGGATGAGGATGTTCTGCTGAACAGGGCACTGGAGCCACATGTGTAACCGGGTGGCACAAACTAGGCACCTTCCCTCAGGGTGTCCAGAACCTCAAGGTATTTGTGGGTAGCAGGAGAGCCCCAAGCAGAGAGGTGCAAAGAAGCAATGGAGAGGGAAGCGGGGGGTGAAACCCCAGCCTTGCTAGGGCTCAGGTGGTGGATTAGGATTACAGACAGGTATTTATTTCCAGCCACTCGAAAGCTGGAGCCCAGAGTTCGTCCTGGAACTTCACCCTCCCAAAGAGCCGAACCAGGCTTGCTGCTTGCATATGGCTTCCTGCAATAAGGGATTGCTTGACAGGCTGGGGGCTAGGGAGGGTAGGGATGCAAGAGTGTTTTTGGTGTGAGGTGCCTGGATCTTACTTGATGGAGCAAGTTTGGACCTGAGTCTGCAGCCCCTTCCAATGGCTACAGCACCCTGCTCATGTCCTGCATCACCCCAGGGAGGAAAAGGAGGTACCTGCTGCCTGTGCCTGACTTACGATGCTGGAGGGAAAGTGGAGAGCATGGGGGTTGAGCTGGCTGCAGCTTGGCTATGTGACTGTGGTCTCCTGCATACAGAGCATGCCTTTGTAGGGGCTGCTGGTGGGGCTGCCTATTGAGCTCAGCCTCTGCAAAGCTGATCCAGCAGCTGATCAGCAGCCAGTGTAACAGCCTGGCTCTTGGCTCTGTCCCCAGCCCAGGTTTGGAGCAAAGCACCTGTTCCTGTTCCCCAGCAGAGAGTGTGAGGACTTCTCCCCTGCTGAATGCACCAGTGCTCTTGACCACAGTGGAAATGGCACCTGTGAAAGGTAGGTTTGGGCTTCTGCTTCTCAATGGGAATGCAGGGGGAAAATCTCCTAGCTGCTGCTCTCAGACATCTCCCTGCCTGGATATATGTGTGGAGGTGCACACCAGTCACTGTGACAGAGGAAAATATGGGTGCTTCAGGACTGCCTTAAGCATCCCACTCACTCACCTCGAGAGAGAGTCTGCGGGGTCCGAATGTGCACCAGGCTTGCTTTCTCTTCATCAGGGAGCTTCTGGATCTCTTTCTGCACAGACACCGTTACACCATTCCAGAGAAGGAGGCAACACAGGAACAGAAAGGCATGCATGCTTCTGGCTGGCAACAACTGAGAGAGGAAGGATCCGCTCAGGCAGGCAGAACTTGATAAATACCCAAAGTCTTCAGGCGAAGAAAAGAGAGGCCCATGAAACATTCATCTCCCTGTTAAAAATGGGCTGACTTCAAGGGTGACGCTTGAGCAGAAGCTTGGGGAGCCTCTGGAGGGACTCTGAGAGTTTGTCTCACTGGTTGAGCTCATCAAGAAAAAGCAGCTGCATTTGCCTGCACTTATCTCTGCAGCTTGCCTGGCAGCTGAATTCCAGCATTTGTTCACATGTTTCCTACCACTCACTGAGATACAGAGGTAAGCTGCTCGATGTGCTATGAAGTGCTCTATATTTTCAGCCAAGCATGGATCAGCCAGAGCTCCAGTTAGGTTTGATGGGAGATAAGGTGGCAGAGAAGCAATGCAGATCAGGTCATCTCTATCTGAAGGCCTGAATGCACTTGGAGCCTGCTGGGTGACTTGGCAAATGCAGGCTGAAATAGCCATGAGACAGCAGGTGCCCTGTGTCCCATCAGCAACCCCTTTCATCATGTGAGATCTCTACACATGGTAGTTGTTTTGGCCAAGCAGTCCTCCTCACCTGGGTACTGTTCGGTGGTTCAGCCCAGCCACAAAGAGCAGGTACCCTGGCAGAAAAGAAATGCCCAGTCCTCCTCAGAGACAAGACAGTCTCATAAGTAGCCAGTTACTCGGAACTGGCCTCTCACCTGGCAGCTCCTGCTGATGCCTCGACAGGGGTGTCCTTGCTGCAGCCTCTCCCCTCTGGCCCAGGCAAGGCAAGGTCTCTTTATACCTCTGTATTTGCACAATAGCTGGGTATGGACGTCAGCTGAAATTCCAGGATATCCTGCTCCTGCCAAGGCGCAGAACAACCTTTTTACAAAAGCTTTTGTCAATCAGCCCAGCAACATGAATGTTTTTGATTGAGGTATATTGATTTATGAAAGCATTCGTGCAGAGTTTATGCTAGACACACCTAGCTCCTTGGGGGTGGACTGTGGGTCTCCACATATGGTGAAGTCTCCCAGAGTCAAACTGAGAGATACAGAGGAGATGCATACACCTCTCTCAACACCCTTCATGCCAAGAGTGGTGCAGAAAGCACATTCCTGTAAGGAAAAGGAAAAATATTAAAGAAAATAAGAAATGACGATGTAAACAACGTGATATGGACTGAACTAAGTCACAGTGACAGCGAACAGCAGCATAATGAGAGGGCCGTGCCAGGATAAGAGGCATAACTCTATGGGATAAACAGGGCTTGTTTAGGAGATGGTCTTCTCCCATCATCAATTTTAAGGAAGTGAAATGCCAGCTTTCCATGGAGGGCTGATAGCTCTTTGGAAAGCTTCTGCTGTATCAAGTGAAAAAGACCATAATTCCATTGTGGAACCAACCACTGGCCTGTTAGGAAATCCTAGCTCTGCTTCTGTACACAGTCAGAATACTGTGGTCTTCACTTCCATCTGCCCTTTTGTGCTGCGTAAGAGAAGGGCTCCTTGTGAGGACCCCCTTCTGGTGTCCCACCGGGTGGGCTTTAATATCATGTGGGCCCAGGAGGTCATGGTAGGGTTTTAGAAGAGCTGGAAATAGTGGCCGCTGTGTTTCTAATGCTTGGTTACTCAACCAGAGGAATGCTTGTTCTACTGCTGTTTTGTGTGACTGCCTTTCCTTGGCACTTTTTGAAGAAACAGCATTTGCCTGAATTTGAAGTCCAGCAGGACTTGGACTTGCAACTTCAGTGCTTGCTTCTGTTGCCTGAATGCCAGACCTTGGGGCTGGCAGTGGCTGCACTCGCAGAAGGAAGGCATCTTCATCTTTGGAGTCCTGAGTGCAAAAGAAGGGGTTGGAGCCAGCACAGCTCATGGGGAAGGAGAGACTGCTTCTTTCCTTTGACTTGCCCTCTGTCCTCACCTCCTCATAAGTTTCCATTCAGCCAGTGAACCGGGTCCCAGGTGTGGAGGGTCATATATATATATATGTTGTCATACATCAGCAGTGGCTTTCTTCTATTTCCAGTTCACTCTCAGGGTGGGTGTCACAAAGCAAGTTCAGGAGCACTGCCTAAACTTCACGCCGTGTTGCGCTGCCAGTGGCCTGCAGCACACTTTACAGTGACTTGTGTTTCTAGTTAGTTATTAAAGAAACACCACAAACACTGACTGGTTTTGGAACGGTTTATTTCAGTTGACTTCAAATAAGATATTACAGAATACTCAGAGCTATTGGCCTGTAAAATTAGTATCATTGTATTGTAAACATTACTTTTTCTTCCAGGTGGACCCTTACATTTGTGTAAATAAGAGAGGTTATTGCTGTCTATAAAGTGTTGATCTTTTTTTTTTTTAATGCAACCATTACAATTCCTGAAAACACAGATATTTTTCCATCTAAGCACCTTCATGCTTACTTATGCTTTATTGTTATAGCTTGAACCAGCTGCAAGGATGACTCCTGTCATTGTTTCAAATAGTATATCGACATGGGAATTTCATCATTGGTTCACCATCAATGTTTCCAGAATTTTTTCCCCTCTCAACATTTTAATTTTCTTTAATCTGCAGTGCTTTCTGGGGGGCTAAGTGTTGTCAACCCAGTTCCTTTGCTTTACTCTTAAACTGGGGAAATCAGGTAGGAAGGTGAGGAAGAGACATTGATACAAGTAAGAGAAGACCATTTCCAAACAGCAAAGTGTTTCTGGGGTCTGGAGAAGGACATGAAGGTGGTACTTCATTCAATTTGTCAGAGTTGTGTTTGAAAAAGAAACAAACAAAAAACAAGGCAAAGAACCCCTTAACACTTATTAAGAGCTTTGTAATGTTTTTTTGAAACGGCATTGTTGGTAATTAATTTTCTGTATGTATGTTTTTGCCTTTTGGTAGGTGACAACTGGCATTTGAGAAGGATGGACTGGTG